AACTGACAGGGCTCAGAGCTGGGGGTCCTACCAATGGGATAAATATAGGTAACTGATGGGGCTGGGTGCTCAGAGCTGGGGGTCCTAACAATGGGGTTAATATAGGTAATTGACGGGGCCCAGAGCTGGATTCCTACCAATGGGGCGCAGGCCCTGCACTTCTGTACCGACTTCTTAGTGTAAAAAGTGTTGACTGAATCATGTGATGGTTTACATAGGAGAACATTAGCTTAACAGTCATCCTATCGTATGAATCATGTGATGGTTTACATGGAAGAACATTATCTTTACATTCATCCTATCGTATGAATCATGTGATGGTTTACATGGGAGAACATTATCTTTACAGTCATCCTATCGTATGAATCATGTGATGGTTTACATGGGAGAACATTATCTTTACAGTCATCCTATCATATGAATCATGTGATGGTTTACACGGGAGAACATTATCTTTATATTCATCCTACCGTATTCCATTTCACTGTAATGATTACATTCCCCTGCATGCATCATCAAACAACCAAAGTGTACACCCCCGCATGCCTGCTGCCCAGAGGTCAGCACTCGGTCCCTCTCCCTCCCTGAGTCCAGAGTCCTCAGCGGCTCCATCTCTCCACGTCATCTTCTCTGCCTCCATCTCTGGCATCACTGCTTCTCTGGATAGGGTCCCACACTTTGCTTTTCTCCCTTGATGGTTTCAGTGACCTCAGCTCCTGGACTGTAAGATCCACCACTCCCCTCCTCTTGCAGTAACGACTTCTTGTGAACAGGAAAAGTTGGTTCTCTGTGTCCATGTAAGACTCTTCCAGCCCATTCACTGAGTCACTGAACTTTCTTCTTCCCAGCCTTTGCTTCTGCGAACAAAGATGTTGCTTCTTTCCAGGTCTCAGAGGCCCCCGGCCAGCTTTCATGTGCCACCACAGGCAGATCATCAAAGCCCAGATGGACAACAGTGAGGATTCTGATGAGGAATGGAAACCTAGGCAGAAAGGTGAGGACAGCAGAATTTCAAAGGGTCAGGTTTCAGCCACTTCCCAGCAAACGGTTAACAAGAGTTTGTTCACACACAGACAAATGTTCAGCAAACAAGCAAAATGCAAAGGCTACATACAGCATGAAGCCATTTATCAAAAGCTTTATAATGTCAAAGATAATAACCCTACTGCTATCTGGTCGATTCCAATGCATAGTAATCCTGCTATATAGGGTTTCAAACACTGTAAATCCTTTTATTTTTCATTTCATTGCAATGATTACAAGCCCCTCCATGCATCATCTTTCAGCAGTATTCTATTCCCTCTGTTTTCAGTGTTGTTGTTGGTTTTTTTTTTAATGTACACAAAAACACTCAGGAATATATAATCATTTAAAGAACCAAAGGGCACATTCTGCAAGCCTGTTTCCTGGCCACCAGCACACAGCCTTTCTCTTTCCCTGAGTCTGGGGTCCTCAGCTGCTCCCTCTCTCCATGTCCTCATCTCTGCCTCTATCTCTTGTGTCGCTGCTTCTCTGGATGGGTCAAGACTGTAAATCTTTTCAGGAGCAGAAAGCCTCATCTTTCTTCTGATGAGTCATTGGTGGGTTTGAACCACCAACTCTGTGGTTAGCAGTCCAGTGCTTACCCTACAGTGTCATCAGTACTCCCTGTGTAAGATAAATAGTACGTTATTGTAACTTAGAAAGTGGGTTTACAGTTTAATTATCAATGTAACTGTAATTTTGGCTAATTATCAATGTTCAGCAAAAACAGTCTCCTTCAAAAATAAGATGATAAATTTTACATATCCAAAAAAAGTATGGAGAATTTTACTGGAAAACACTACCCACTACCATTCAGTGAGACCTTAACATTCTGCTACAACCACTTCATATCTTTCTATTACTATTTAAAAATGTAAAAAACTAACCAAGAAACAGGCAAGTCACCTGTCAGCCCTCCCTCCTTCACTAGTAGTGACAAGTATTCTGTATTTGGTATTTCTATCTGCATTTAGATTGTACTATATTTATGAATGTAGCTACAGTGACATATGCTCTCACAGTTATTGTAGCTATAGTGTTTAAATAGCAGGCATCTTCTAACTTTCCCCAGAGGTACTGATGCTGACACCTTGATTTTCCCACAGCCCCTCCCCCTACCACCACCTCCCCTATGACCTAGGCTATATTTTAGAATGAATACATATATAACAATGTAGATTTTAAACATGTATTACCTAGATTTTATACGCATATACTGTTATAGTATATGTTTTGTAGCTACAGTAATAAATACATAAAAATCTAAATGTGGATTGTTGTTAGGTGCCATCGAGTTGGTACCAACTCATACCGACCTTTGCCCCTAACAGAACAAAACACTGTCTAGCTCTGCACCAACCGCACCATCGTTGCTACACTTGAGCCTATTGCTGCTGCCACTGTGCCACTCGATCTCATTGGGGGTCTTCCTCTTTTTCACTGAACCTCCACTTTACCAAGCATGATGTCCTTCTCCAGGGACTGGTCCCTTCTGAGACCATGTCTGAAGTCTGAGAGACGACGTCTGGCCATCCTGGCTTCTAAGGAGCACTCGGGCTGGACTTCTCCCAGCACAGATTGGTTTGTTATTTTACTGTCCATAGTGCTCGTAATGTGGATACAAATAGAACATTCAGAATCGTTGTCCCAGAGAACCAGGGGGGCTGACAGGTGACGGAGCTGGAACTGTCCATAGTGCTGTTAATGTGGATACAAACAGAACATTCAGAAGAGTTGTCCCAGAGAACGCGGGAGGCTGACAGGTGATGGAGCTGGAACTTGGTCAGCTTTTGATTTTGAAATAGAAAGATCTAAAGCAGTTCTTACAGAATGTTGAGGTCACACTGTATTTAGGTTTTCCCAGCACAATTCTCCATGCTTTTCTTTATGCTTAAAACTTATCATATTTTTAAAGGAGATTGTTTTTGCTAAACATTGATAATTAGTCAATGAATTAAACATTTAAAATCATTTTCTAATGCTAACTTTATAGCAGTCATAGTTGCTGTTGTTGTTGTTGTTAGTGTCATAGAATCAGGTTCTGACCCATAGTGACTCTGTATAGGGTTTCCAAGTAGCAGCTGGTGAACTTGAACCAACGGCCTCCCGGTTCAAGCAGACTTTGCAGTCCAGTGCATTAACCAACAGCGCCACACCAGGACTCTGCAGTCATAGTTACTGGATTAAATGTTTTACAAGAGAAAATAATTAATACATGAAAGTGCTCCAAAAAGTTTGTGGAAATAATTCAATTATCTTTTTTTAAGTTTTTAATTGTGATTTGAGTGATAGTTTACCTGGGAGTACACAGGTTTTACACTCATCATTTCATTGTAATGATTACAATCACTTCCGTGCATCATCATTCAAAAGTATTTGCTTCTATTCCCTCTGGGGTTTTTTTTTGGAGGGAGGGGGGATGTACACAAAAACATTCAGGATTATATAATCATTTAAACAACCAAAGATGCATCCTGTAAGCAAGCCTCCTGCTACCAGCACACATGAGTCTAGAGTCCTCAGCTGCTCCCTCTTTCCATGTCCTTTTCGCTGCCTACATCTCTGGTGTCGCTGCTTCTCTGGATAGGGTCCTGCATTACGCTCATGCTTTTCTCCCTTAATGGTCCTAGGGTTCTCTGTACCTGGACTGTAAGATTAACTACTCCCCACTTTTGTTACAAAACTTCTACCTTTACAGTTGTGCCCATTGCAAGTACTCATGATAACAATTACTCAATATTGAATCATAAGAATCTTATCCCCATCTCCTTTGACCAGACCCATCTAGACAAGACGAAAACTATTCAGTGGGGATTCTGCCTTCCCCCTCACACTCTGAAGCTAAACTCCCTCTTGAAAACTTGTTAACCAGTCACTTCATGCCCTTTATGTTTGTTGTTGTTGTTGTTAAGTGCTGTTGAGTTGGTTCCAACCCATAGCGACCCTGTATAGGGTTTCCAAGGAGCAGGTGGTGAGCTTGAACCACCAACCTTGCAGTTCAAATGACTTTGCAATCTGGTGCATGAACCCACAGTGCAACACCACGACTCCTTTATAGCCCCCCTCCCCCCATTTTAGGTAGCCAATGTCTAACTTGTCCGTCCCTATCAATCCTGTATACAGAGGGGATAGGATTGATACTTAATGTGAAGACTCCTTCCCTCTCAGTTGGTATTTTGAGCTACTACATCCATAAGTATAGGTCAAGTTCATCAAACTGTAGCAATTTACACTTGTTTCCTTTATCAAAAATTGTTTTTAGTTTTTTTTTTTTAAATACATATAAGGAATACTTAAAGTACACAAGATGAACTAGCAATAAGGATTAAAATAGTTTTAAAAACCAGTTAATCTTCACAGATAAAGATATCCCTCACAGGCCGGGAGTTGCGGGCGTCGGTGCAGACATGGCCAAGTCCAAGGACCACACCACGCACAACCAGTCCCGAAAATGACACAGAAATGGTATCAAGAAACCCCGATCACAACGATATGAATCTCTCAAGGGGGTGGACCCAAAGTTCCTGAGGAACATGCACTTTGCCAAGAAGCACAACAAGAATGGCCTGAAGAAGATGCAGGCCAACAACGCCAAGGCCATGGATGCACGTGCTGAGGCTATCAAGGCTCTCATAAAGCCCAAGGAGAACAAGCCTAAGATCCCAAGGGGTGTCAACCGCAAGCTCAGTCGACTGGCCTACATAGCCCATCCCAAGCAGGGGAAGCGTGCTCGAGCACGCATTGCCAAGGGTCTGTCGGCCAAAGTCCAAGGCCAGTGCTAAAACTAAGGCTGAAGCTTCAACCAAGGTCTCAACTAAAGCTCCAGTCAAGGCCTCAGCTAAAGCTCTAGCCAAGGCCTCAACTAAAGCCCCAGCCAAGGCCTCAACTCAAGCCCCAGCCAAGGCTTCAACTCCAGCCCCAGCCAAGGTCTCACCTCAGGCTCCCAAAGGTGCCCAGGCCCCCACAAAGATGGAATAGAGTTCTCCATCTGAGGACAGAGGGATTGGCATGACCCTTTGGGCTACCATCTGTATGGAGCTGGTGTCCTCCTGTGCTATTTGCACAAATAAATATGAGGCAGGAAAAAAAAAAAAAGATATCCCTCACAGTTTTTCACGCCTCTCTCCTAACCAATAGGTCTTCAATTCAAACCTCTGGAAACCCTACATAGACAGAACGACTCGACAGCACTCAAGAACCCAGTTAAAATACTCACGTTATTCTATTAATCTAAATGCAGTTAAAATACTCAACTCAGTCTATTAATCTAAACCCAGTTAAAATACATTTACCTAGTTAGTTTTTTAAAAATAAATATAAGAAGAAAATAAATAAATATAGGGAATATTTTAGGTACATAAGGGGAATCAGCAATAAGGAAGAAAATATTTTAAGAAACCAATTAGGCCTTAATTAATGATACTGAAAAAAAAACATGTTCAAATCACCCTTGTATAATTCTTGGACTCTCCATGTGCTGGTTTATAATTCCCTGTCCCTATGTGAGCATCTTCAAAGTCTGGAAACATTCTCCAAGCAAAATTAATTCTGATTTCTCATTGCCTTCCAGTCAAACCTCCTTGGGTGGCATCCAGAGTGAAGCAGAGTAAACAGCAGAAGGTGAGTATCCACGGATGCTGTACACAAGAACACCTTCCTCCTGGAGCCAGGCTCAGGTAAGCAGGAGGATGTACAGAGGCCCAGGACTGCTGTCTCCATCTCCTGCTCGCTCCATGGCACAACCCCACACCATCACCATCTTCTTAGTATCAACAGCAACAGTAATAACTATCGCTAGTTTCTTTCCACAGTATTCCAGAACTTCTTTTAAACATAAATAAATTTACTTATCTTATCACTAGGACTCATAGAAAGAGAAAGACTGAGTGCTGGTGGCCAGTTCCTAAGTGTTTCTGTGTACATCTGCAACCCCTCCCAGCCCTCCCCCCCAAAGCAAACAAACCAAAAAACCACAGAGGGAACAGAAGCAAATACTGTTGAATGATGATGCAAGGAGGGGATTGTAATCGTTGCAATGAAACGATGAGTATAAAACCGATGTTCTCCCATGTAAACTATCACTCAATTCACAACAAAAACTTAAAAAAAAAAAAAAGTGTTAACTACATAAGATGAAATTTTATCAATATTTTTAAAGTGTTTTAAGAAAATGATAAAATTAACACCCCAATGTTGTTGCTAGGTACCATTAAGTCAGTTCTGACTCATAGTGACCCTATATAGGGTTTCTGAGGAGCAAATGGTGGGTTTGAACCATTGACCTTGTGGTACAAATCCAGCGATTACCCTGCAACTGCATATTAGGACTCCAACACCTCACCAGACCCATAAAGAAATTAAATTGCTATAGTGAATTCCAGCTCATCACAACATATGTGTCAAGGGTAAAGCTGTGCTCCATAAGGTTTTCACTGGCTGTGACCTTTCAGAAGGAAGTGGATCACCCGGCCTTTGTTCCAAGCACTTCTGGATGGATTCCAACCTCCTACCTTTTTTGTTCGTAGGTGAAAGCTTAACTGTTTGTGCACCAAGGAACTTCAAATAGGAAACCAGTTGCCTGTGACTTATGAGGACTCCATATGAGTCCGAGTAGAAGTGTGCTTCATAAGGTGTTCAGAAGTCAATTGCCAGGCCTTTCTTCTGGCATGCCTAGGGTAGATTTGAACTTGCACCCTTTCTTTTTGTAGCTGAGCACCGTAGTCATTTGTGCTACACAGAGACTCCTAATTAGAAGCATAGTTGTTAAGTGCTGCCGAGTCGGTTCCGATTCATAGCAACTCTGCATAGGGTTTCCAAGGAGCTGCTGGTAAGTTCGAACTGCCGATCTGGTAGTTCAAACTGACATTGTAGCTCAGTGCAGCAACCCACTGCACCACACCAGGACTCCAATTAGAAGCACAGGCTTTAATTAGTGGCACTTCAGAAATCATTTTCAAATCACCCTTGGTCTCAACAGGCCTGTGACGTAGGTACTTTAAGATGACTATTTTCTAGATGAGGAAACAGGTGTAAACATGGTCAGTTACACACGTAAGATGGAAATATCAGTGGGAGTAGAGTCCAATCCAAAACACTTAGTCGCTCATTAATATTTGCACACATTATAAAGTTCTTGATGTCTTCTCCGAGGTACAGCTGATGATTCAAACCTCAGGCCTTCTCTGGTGTGCTAAAACGCTTGTCGTGAGATCTTAAGCAAGAGAAGCTTACCTATACCTGGTTTCCTTATCATTCCATCACATGCAAATATAAGAGTGGTTTGTATGGTGGGTGGTCCCAGAAGAGGGATATAGGTCTCTACCCTCAGGGATTCTGCTTAAGAAATGGAAGCAGCTTCCCAGCCCCTGATGCTTGAGAAGACTCAGACAATGACTTATGGATGTGTGTGTTTCTACTATTTGGTGGAAACTTATCCTTCTGGATCTGAGTTCCAATGTTCATTCCTACAGGAAGAAGTAACAGCTAGCTCTTCTCTAGACTTTGATTAAGCCCCTCCCCTATGGTCTCAGTTGTACGTTTAGGTGGCCTGCTGGTCTGCATGAAGGACTCTGGAAGTTTTGTTCCTTCTCTGAGTCTTCTCAGACGTCATAGGCCCAGCTCAGGGCCCACCCCTGAGGGACTCCTGAATGTTTTCTGAATGAGTGATTGCACAGTATCAAATTAAACTAAGAGTACAAGGGTACGAATACTGAGGAGGAATACCTGTGAGTTTGATTTCAACTGTGGAGGTGGTTGAGGAGGTAAATTTTATAGCACAACTGTAGAAGACAGAGTTCATAGTCTCAGATTTAGAGTTACCAAATCCCTTGATAAGAATTATTACATTAAATGTTCATTACAACCTTAGGATTTATACATAAAGACACTAAAAGAAAGATCAAGATGGCAAACCCTTATTCAGCACAATTGGCACTGTAACCAATTTATTTAATTCTAATATTCCAATACTTTCTAACCCCAAAGTAAATATTCTTCCAAAGTTTCAACTTTTAGCATGACTGTCCCTGTTGTCTCAATATGTGCCTGCAGCCGTGTTCTCTTCCCAGCCATGTTTCACCATCCTCTTTTCCACTGTGTTCTGTCCACTTTGTAGTTTTCTACTTTTTACCTCCCATCACATGTCCTGTGGTTTATATAAGATTCTGTAAGCCCACATCTTCTCTCACAGGCCTTGTTGATTCTCAGTTAATCTCCAAAACCCTTCTACTTCCCTCACTAGCACTTATAAAGAGACAGTTGAGAGACAGTTGAAGGGAAAGAGTCTGACGATGTAGATTCTGGTCTGGGATTCACTAGCCTCTTCCCTCAGGTACCTCATGGTTGTTGAAGCTCTAGCTAAGGTCATGAATGTGGAAATGTCACAGCACTAAAAGAAAGCTCGTCCTTTCATATATGCTTCTCACATTAAAGGAAACACCCAGGACGCCACTAAGTAATGAATGCAGTTTGAAGGAATTATCAGGAACTGCAATTTTGGGGAGCACAACTGACTCAGAGCTGCCCCAGAGGCTGGCATCACCTCCTCAGGAACCAAGTCCCTCTGATCAGCACTCAACACAGAAACTGGGTAAGAGACAATAAATAACTGGGGACTCATTTCTACAGCTCCTCCACCAAGGTTCATGAGCATGGTCTACGTGCCTGGGTTTAAGCTGGAAGCTTTAAGCTGGAAGTTGGGTGCAGTATTAAATGTAATTAATTCAAAGTCATATACTGTGGGAAAATCTTTGAAATCCTCTGAGGTCCAGATTCCTAATTTGCAGAATAAGGATAAAGATCCAGAGCTCATCTATTGTTTAAAAGCATTACATAAACTCTAAAGGAGCTGACACAGGCCAAATGTCCCATAAATTCACCTGTGATGTCAGCCCCAAACCTTCTTCGGTGTTTTTGCCTTCCTTCTCTCAATGCCTAACTCAAAATCTGTCCTCAACACCCATTTTTCAGAATCAGCAATGTGTGTTGAACCTTTTTCTAAGGAGAAAGGTCGGGACGCTAACCCTTAAAATGGGAGGAGCTGGAACAGGTAGTTGCATTATGGATCTGTAGTCAGTGTGTGTGTGGAATCTCTGAATTGACATTTAGGGGGAAGTCACATTCTGTGGAAGGACAGTGATGAGTTCATGAGAGGAGACCTCACACTGTGCACCACTGCAACTTGGCCACCTATCTTTTCTTCACCTTAGAGCCCAGGATAAAAGAGGTGGAGGTGAAGACGTACAGCCTGCGAGAAAGGAAGGGCCTCACGTACCAGGAGATCGGGGAGCCCCAGGATGATGACTACCTTTGTAATTGACCCTCCAACCCCCAGTAGAAGGCTTAGGGCTGGACCTTCCCTCATTACTTTGAGTCCAGCAGTGAGGTCTGGGCTCTTTCTGCAACTGCTCAGGATGTCCAGAATTATTTTTTACCCTTCCTGTGTCCATCTGCATCCTTACTGCTCCCTCATCTAGATAGTGATAAGTGTTAGAATATGTTCCAGCCTGTATGCTGATCCCCACTGCTCCCTCCTACTATTGTGACAAGTGTCCACATATGTTCTACCCTTTACCCTAATCTCTACTGTTCCTTTCTCCAGATTGTGAGATGTGTCAAAACTTCTTCATTGACATTTGTGCAACTCACGGAGCCCCAACGTTTATAAAGGACAGTCCCATGGACAAGGGGCACCCCAACCGCTCAATCCTCACTCTGCCCCCTGGGCTGAGAATTGGACCGTCCGGCATCCCTGAGGCTGGGCTGGGAGTCTGGAACGAAGGGTCTGAGCTGCCCCGGGGCCTGCACTTTGGTCCCTATGAAGGCACGGTGACAGAAGACAAGGGGACAGCCAACAACGGCTACTCCTGGCAGGTGAAAAGCACTTACCTCGCCCTTGTCCTTGTCCCTCACCTCCCTCTGTGCCTTGGTAGAATGAGCTAAGACACCCTGGAGGCATAGGCTAGCTGTGTGCACTGCAAAGTCTCTGCATAGCAGACTGGGACAGAGATCAAGAAGGCTCCTTGCTCTCCTGACTGACAATCCAGGTAGACATGTAGATGCCCACAAAGAGTCAGCTCATGTGCCAACAAACTGATGGTTGAACAAACACTGAGGGGAGGACATGAATTCCTGTTTATTAACGCAGAATGTGGAGGGCATGAACTCCTGTTTATTAACCCAGAAGGCCTGATTTTTCTCAAACTCAGATCACCAAGGGAAGGAACTGCTATGAATATGTGAATGGAAAGGATGAAGCTCAGGCCAACTGGATGAGGTGAGCCCAGAGGGGTTTGACAGAAGAGAGGAAATTAGTCTCCAAAACCCAGGTCTGCATCCTTTTCCTCATGCTTCCCTCAGTGGATTTTACTCCCTCCATACTTTTTTTCTTCATAGATCTCTCTTTCATGTCTTAATGGCTAAGATCCTGACTAAGTAAGAGAAACTTACCTATACCTGATTTCCATAGAATTCCATCACATGCAAATATAAGGGCAGTTTACCCATGAGAAGAGGGTGAGGGGTCTCTACCCTCAGGGACTCTGCTTAAGGAATGGAAGCAGCTTCTGCCCCAGGACCAATGAGAACTGAGGAGATGAAAAACTGTGTCCTGTATGTGTAACCTGTGTCCTGTGTGTGTAACCTGTGTCCTGTATGTAGAACCTGTGTCCAGTATGTAGAACCTGTGTCCTGTATGTAGAACCTGTGTCCTATATGTGTAACCCATGTCCTGTATGTAGAACCCGTCCTATATGTATAATCTGTGTCCTGTCTGTAGAACCTGTATCCTGTATGTATAACCTGTGTCCTATATGTGTAACCTGTGTCCTGTGTGTGTAACCTGTGTCCTGTATGTAGAACCTGTGTCCTATATGTGTAACCCATGTCCTGTACGTAGAACCCGTCCTATATGTATAATCTGTGTCCTGTCTGTAGAACCTGTATCCTGTATGTATAACCTGTGTCCTATATGTGTAACCTGTGTGTGTAACCTGTGTCCTGTGAGTGTAACCTGTGTCCTGTATGTATAACCTGTGTCCTGTATGTGTAACCTGTGTCCTGTGTGTATAACCTGTGTCCTGTATGTGTAACCTGTGTCCGGTGTGTGTAACCGGTGTCCTGTATGTGTAACTGGTGTACTGTATGTATAACCTGTGTCCTGTATGTATAACCTGTGTCCTGTATGTGTACCCTGTGTCCTGTATGTAGAACCTGTGTCCTATATGTGTAACCGGTGTCCTGTGTGTGTAACCTGTGTCCTGTATGT